CTGAGTCAGCAAATGAATCCAAGGCAGTTTGCTTTACTAGATGTCTGAATTAACATTAGAAGAACCAGAGCAAAAGGGGGGGGCAGGGAGAGTGGAGGGTTGGAGGTTGGGTTGTTCTTTTTTCCCCTTCTTCGGAAGCAATATGGCCAGAGGGAAAAGTAGATATTCAGAAGCAATATGGCCAGAGGGAAAAGTAGATATTCAGCCATGTCTGTCTATCTGCTGTGGCCTTCAAACTATGGCTTGAGCAGCAAAGGAATAGAGTCTTCTATATTTATAACAGGGGAATTAAATATCTCCTGTTATACTATTTTCCCAATAAAATGGTACTCAAGAGCAAACGCTTCATCCCATCCCATCATGGTAGGGAGATGTGGATCAAAGATACCTTCCTCTCCTAAGGAAGGAAAGTATCTTTGCAAAAGATTTTTTTTCCTTGGGGGAAAAAAAAAAAAACACCGCCAAAAAAAACCAAACCAGGAAAAGGCAGAGTGACAGGTTGGAGTTGTTAAACACCTTTCAGCTGCTTAAGAGAAGTTTCTACAAACTCTTAGTATTTGATTCGCAATTGGTCTTCTGCAGGAGAACTGGAAGGAAAGTGTTTCAGTATCTGAAATGCTTCTTCTTAAGACAGAAAAAATAGTTCACTGACTGCTTTCAAAAGCTTTTGTCCCTTGTATGCAGAACTGAAGGCAATCTGAAGGTTCTCAGATTGCAGAAAGCTTATTAACTAAGCCAAGTAACAGTTACCTAGAACTCTTCTTTAAAGCCTTATTAGCTCCCAGCAATAATAGAACATCATTGTCTTTTTAAAAATGTTATTATTTAAGTAGCTGAGCAACTTGGGGAAAAAAAAAAAAAAAAAAAAAGAGCATTGCTGTCAAAGGTAGCTGTCTAACTCCAGCTGTGTTTTGAAGAAGTCTTTGATTCAGATTCTTACTGAAATTTCAAATTTAACTATTCAATTCCTCTCCCTACCATGTAGCATTTACAAAGAGTTATAAAGGTTCTATTTCAAACATTACTAACAAGTCTCATTGCTTAAGTATGTACTAAAAAAGTACAGCTTCCCTCAGCCTCAAGCAAACATCCAAATAAGAGCAGAAGGAAATCTCACGTGTTCTGTTATCTTCATTGCAATACACAACCATTTCTTTTAACTCAGCTAATTTTTAAATGCTTTCTGGAACGTTTGCAAGTACTACAAATAAAGTCAGCAGAAACAGGAAGGATTCAGAACACATGTCAGCAGGTTTTGAGCACAGTGGCTACTTGCTTTCCCCAGGAAGTTTATTATTCATTTTCCTAAGAAAGAAATTACTAACAGCTGATCAGCAAATACTACTATTATTAAGAAAGAATTATTACTTTCCCATTTCTGTGCATCACCTCTCTACCATTTCAACAGGGAAGTTTTGGGTTTCATTGCTCACAGATCTCTCTCACACAGCCTTCCAAAAAGGAAGCACAAATGCTTATGAGACCCCTTGGTTGCCACACAGCACCTTCTGTCTCTAATTTGGACCACGAGTTAAAAAACAGCACCTGCTTTTGAATCTAATTCAGCGTACTTTAAAAACAGCCTGCTGCCAGCCAGAGGGGGCAAGAAGGCAGTTTAGTCCTGTGGGATGTTCACTGGTGGGTAGAGGGGTAAGGAAGCCTGACAAGTCTAGTCTCACTAGCATGCACATGGTTGATGTCAAAGGCAAGACAATCTTAGCTTTTAAAACTGCAGTAATGGCTTATGCAAAACAGAATGGACAACACCCTTAAGTGTTTCTTTGCACTCAGTGTGCTTCCTTTGTAGCTTGACACTGACATGTTCATGCCACTGACAGCAATCCAGTGCTATACTGTATGAGAAGGCCTACTACTAGCTTAGAGGCTAAGAAAAATAAAGTTGCTTTTTATGAATGTATCTACACTTTGAGACAAGATTTGGCTTTCTATAAGAGCGGCAGTCCAAGCCCTCTAAATGAAAGGCTGAATATTTGTGGCAGACAACCCATACAAACCCATGAGCTAGTCTTTAGTTACCACACTACTACCACCAGAACAGAGTATTACTGGAGCAGCCCTACAAATTAGATATTTGAAGCCTGGTTTTACTTCCAACAATTCACTTTGTCAGAGAAGACAATTATTTTACTGTCTGATTGCCTTCATTCATCTCTTAGATGATCAGAAGACAATGTGACTAAGCAGACCTATCTTAAAGACTATGCTTTCACAGCCTGCTAGGAAAGCAATTTACTGTTACACAGCTTCCGTTGAAAACAGGTATTTAGAGACTTGAACTTCCTGCAAAGGGTTACTGTGTAGTTAGGGACAAGACTTGCTCAAATTTGGGGAAACAAGTGAGCTGAAGTAAAAAAAACCAACAGATATTATCAACTGACATTGGGGCACTTCTGCACAAGCCAAAACTAAGATACACTAGCATGTCTGAAATCTAGCAGCCGCTCTTGTAACACAAGCCTTATTAAGCAATCAGAACAAAACTAAAATCTAATGCCAGATCTGGAAAAAAGAACAAGCCTGAATGAAGCAGAGAGCAAAGTTCCTTGACTGTAGAAACAGCTTATAGATTTGTGAGCAATTTTATTAGTACACAAATTCTGCTCCAAGAGATCAAAATGATTTAACAAATTAATAAAACAGATATTTTTTCACTCATTTACAGAGCGATTACTACTCTAACAGCCAGACTTCTAGTTTGGCTCAAGCATGGGAGCAAAATCAGTTTACAGTCTGCACACATGAAACAAAAGGAATAGTATTTCTCCACACTTAACTCCTACAACTTCTGTTTTATTACACTGCGTAGTTTCTCTTTCATGCATCTTATCTCAGTTAATGCAGAAGCATTTAAAGCAACCGTCAAGGACACACTGACCTCAGCAATGGAGCTTCCTCATGCTGAAACAAGAGACAGTCATCTCAAGTACAGAGATTCTAGATTCCTTCTGAGCTTGGAGCACAGAAGCCAGAGCAGAACTCAAAGCCATAGTGTACGTTCCATCACTTGAAGAAAAGCATGGCTTTTCCAGAGTTGTGCAGCCTCATCCCAGCCCATTAAGTACAAGGGTATTTTAAATAGCAAGTTACACAAACATAAGGCAGGTAACAGGCTTGCCAGCAACTGACACGATAGAATAAAAGTAGAAATACTTAGCCTCTGTCTGTAACAGTGTAAGAATACCTTGCAAGTTGCATGGGGTCGGGGTCTAGATACCGCAAGAGTATGCTGAAGACTGTAAAGGTCCAGAGGAAAGAAAGAATACTTGTGGCGTACCAGCTCTTATGCTAGTCTCAAGCAAGGACATACCTTTGTCAAGAGGCACTACTTGCCAGCCTTGTTTCTTTAAGTCAGACCTTTCCCTGGTAACAGCAATGTAGCCAGTCCAACAGCTGCATGTTCGGCCAGGTAATTAACCCAGGGCACCAGTACTCTCTGTATTTATTTAGCAAGGAACTACATTTTAAGTTCACAGATACTCATTTGTCTAATCCAAACTATTTAAAAACATTTTTAAAAGTCAGAGCTACATAAAAAGAAACTGGGTTAAACTGTATGATCTCTACTTAAACCAAGAATAAAATGCATTATGAAGTTCTGTTTATTTTTATACAGCCCTTCTGCAAGGAAGAACCGTGCAGCACAAAGCCCATGCAGCAGAAAGATACACAGCTATCGCCTCCTCACACTCTCAAGGCCTCAAACAGTCACACAACAGGCTGTCCAAACTCAGCTTCTTCCAAATTGTGACATTTATTCCTGGTTTTTGTTCAGGCTATGTCAACTGAAGACAATAACTTAAGTAAGATTTTTCACCTAAAATCCATAAAAATTCAGTGATAAAGTAGCCATATGGGAAGCTTATGGGAAGGTTTAGTCATTTTTCACTCAAGCTATGAATGAGCACACACTGATCTTTATTCAAAGTTATTTAAACTGTGCTTAAAGGATGCTACACAAGGTACACAGGCTAAAGTTATTGCACTACTTTGCTGAAAGCACCTCTATCCTCTGATCGTGGTTCTACATAGCCAAAGTTGGTCACTGTGACTGGAAAATGGACACAAGTTTTAGAGTTAGATTGGGTGATGGAGAATAGTCTGTAGAACAGACTATGCAAAGCCTGCTACTTCTGGCAAAAATCAGACCAACACCAGTGTTAGATGGAAGCTTTGCAATGAAAAGGAATTGAAAAACAATGTGACATCATAGGGACATGACTAAATGAAAGTTCCTTTTTCTATTTACCCTAGCAAAATAGCCATTAGAATTTCCTCAGTTACCCTATGACTGAAGTTACCAGTCTGGATAAAGTACGCTGAAATTTCTAAGAGAAAACCAGTAGCACAGAGGCATATGAGGGCTTCTAATTTAGAAGAATTTCTTAACTTTTCTTGAATGCCTTTGCACCATGGTAAACTTTTCCCTTCCAAGCTGTTGTTGACACTCAAGTTCTTGTAGGTCTTCATATGCCTTTAAGAGACATAGCACTTAAAAAATAGCAAAAGATCCCAATGAAGTTCAGGAAAATTATTTCAGGCTTTGTTAATACACTGAGTATTCCAAATAGATACATTAGTCTAAGTCAGGATAGATAATCAAGGTAAACAGGTTTAATCCAAATACAGAAAATTCTGAAGCCACATACATGACCTCCACGTTGCAATGCCTTATCTAGCTACACACAGAGCTCCGTATCTATTTAAACAGAGTATCTGCCACAGCCACTACTGGCAGAACTCCATTCAAAAGCACCTCAGCTACCCTTCAGAATCTTAAAAATTTGCAGTCACATACACAACTTGAATATAGTTACAGCATGAGTTTTATCATGTGTTGTTTAAAAGTGAATTGTTGGAATGCACAAGGACAGAATTAGGCACTGCATATCCTTTGTTTCAGATGAATAATTTGTATTGCTGTTGCTTATGGGAGTGGTCAAGATGTATGGCTTCATCAGCTACACACTTTTGTCTTAATTCTGCTAGAAGACAGCCTAACCCATTACTTCCCTAAAGGGGCTGGGGGGGAAGAGAGATGAAGGCACAAAAGTTTAAACAGATTCTGTTTTACTGGAAATAATTACACCCATCCATGTTTCTTCAAACCAGTTCATGGCCCTCTGGAAGAAAACAGGCTGAGTAATCACATGGTTAAGAGGCAAAATATTAGAAAAAGGGTTGCGAACAGTAGCTCAATTCTTTGATATAGGAGGGAGTTTTCTTCTGTTATGGCCAAGAATCACAAAACTGTCAGGAAGTTCTGTAGTTAGGAGAAGATTTTCAATAGTTATTCTAACAGTCTGGTCTAGCATTTGGCTTGCATCAGCAGTTGACAAAAAATGCTAAACAATAAAAACAAACCAAAAACCCATAGAAGAATGTCATATGAGGAAATATGTATAATTTAGTATGATGAAGTTACTTACCTTTAAATTTTGACCGAATGTTTGCTAGTTCTTTGTTTATCCTCTTTATCTCTGCTTCTTTACTTTTGCCTGAAATTAAAAGAACACACATCAGGATGGCAATGCTTTGGACAGCCCTCTGCTACCCTAAACTTCTTTCCAACCAACCATGCTGTGCAAACATACAAACATCAGGAGGAATTATTATTCTCCCTTTCAAGTATTAGGACTAGATGAAGGCAAACATCACAGAGGTAACTTAAGCATCTCTTTATACTGGAATTTGAGAAGCTAAGAGGACCTCCCTGTTTCAATAAGCTCTGCAGGCTTTAGACAGTATCAGTTGCATACAACTAATGTGAGTGCCTTTATTACCGATTTTCACAAACACTTCAGTCTTTCTATTCCTTAAATTGGCAAGAGAAAACTGAATTTCACTTCCGATTTGATTGCTAGGTTGAGGGTGCTCTGAAGAAAACAGTCTCCTAAGCACAATCTTATAAACAACCAGCTTGTGTTATTCCTCACCTTAAAGGACAAGCCAATTTACTGTCTTTACAGGAAGAGGGCTCTGCAGAGGGATCTAGACAGGCTGGATCAGTGGGCTGAGGCCAATTGTATGAGGTTTAACAAGGCCAAGCGCCAGGTCCTCTACTTGGGTTACAACAACCTCATACAATGCTACAGGCTTGAGGAAAAGTGGCTGGAAAGCTGCCTCACAGAAAAAGACCTGGGGGTACGGTTGACATCTGGCTGAATATGAGCCAGCAGGGCGCCCAGGTGGCCAAGGCGGCCAATAGCACCCTGGCTTGCATCAGGAATAGCATGGCCAGCAGAAGTAGGGAAGTGATCACGTCCCCTGTACTCCTCACTGGTGAGGCTACATCGCGAATACTGTGTTCAGTGTGTTTCTTGTAGTGAGAGGCCCAAAACTGAAGTGCTGGAGTGTGTCCAAAAAAGGGCAATGAAGCTGGTGAAGGGTCTACAGAACAAGTCTTATGAGGAGCAGCTGAGGGAACTGGCATTGTTTAGCCTGGAGAAAAGGAGGCTGAGGGGAGACCTTATCACTCCCTACAACCGCCAGAAAGGAGGCATCATGTCCAAACCTCGTGTGTCACCCAATGACTGTTAATCATCCCTTTACCTTTCCAAAGATGATCTAACAGCAGGCCAGACGAAAGATGACTAAGTAACTCAAGGAAACAAGTGCCTCAGGATAGGTTAACAGCAGAGTATTTAAAGTATAAGGCAATCCCACGCCGAATACAAATTTATCCAGATTTTGTAATTTCTTGATTTAGACTCAAAAAAACAAACTGTAGTTATGCACCTCCAAAAACCAACTCTTGCTTAAGATGCAGAAAACTGTTTTATATTTATATGCTTATAATAATGGCCACAAAAGTACAGACATGTAGCAAGACTAGCACACTGTACAAATGGAAGCAAGTTAGGCCCAAAATAGAAGCAACTACTTCAGTTTGCCTTGTCATTTTAACAAAATACCTAGAGATTTGCTTAAAATGGAATTTTTCCACTCTACAACACTGCTTTATAAGGGGCACTGCTCAAAACCCTGAAGCGTAGGGTGCCTTGGCAGGCACGCCACGTGGCAAAAAAAGCCCAACTTCTCCCATTCCCAACCCTGAAAAACTACTTACTTGTACCTACTCGTCCACTTACTGCTTTAAAGAAGTCAAGCATTTTCAGAGCTCAAGAATTCATGATACCTGTTCCGACATAAATTGTAGTTGCTATCTGTACGCATCTTGATTTTCAGATAAAGCAGTAGATATGTCCACAGTTTTAATTTGACCTAGAAACTCCAATTAACTTCTAAACCAACAAGGTTAGCAATCACAGTATGCTTCTCTCAGTTTATAAAATGCATCTGTTGGTAGCACAAAATTTAACGAGTTTTCACTAAGGTACCATGCAACACATAATGAGTTTTCTTCTAATTTAACTTGCCAACCTAAAGTAAGCTGGTTTTAAAGTAGTAACACTATTTACTATACAAATAAGCAGCAGCTTGTACAATCTCAGGCTTGAAGTGTCTTTTACTATAGATCTTTAGATTTGTCTTAATTGGGTTAGATTATTTGTCCTATGCACATGGCAGAGATACTCCAGCGTCCATGTCTAAGACACTTGCCAGCATCAGGAATTCACTACTAGACTGAAGCAAGTCTTTTGCTCCTGGGTCCATACCCTACAGAGGGCCAGAGAAACATATGCCAAAAGGGTGCAAGTGTATATGCAAACAAACAACACTCCAATTTTGCTAAGCTGTCACATTAGCACTCTTTTTAAAGACTTGAAAACACTTCCCTTATTTTCAGCAATTCATCTGCTCCTAATTTCTAAAACTATTAATTTCTTTTCCCTTTTATGAAGTGAAAGGTACATCTCATTAAAATATTACTACCGAGTCAGGAGATTTTGTACTTCATTTAGATTAACGAGGCAGAGAACATTGACCTCAGTCTGGGATATTGCTAACCTAAGTAGGATATTTAGTTATTTGAATTACTAGCAATTGTTTCTAACCTCAACAAGCATTGCAATAATCACTGATGTTAAAAATGGAGGGAGGAAAGGGAAGCAAGAGTGAGTACATCTTAGCCAGCTTTGCTTAACCGAAGATGAAATCAAGGTCATAATTTTTTTTTTTAAATCACCAAAACCTCTCAGCAAGCCTTTCAAGCAGCATCATCTACCTGTTATGCTCACAGATTACCAGTTACTTCCAGAAACTGGGCTCTTTGTGTCCTAAGCAAGCACCAGAATATTAAGGGAAGCTTGACTAAAATATTTCAGGAATTTGTGAAGTCAGCACCTTTGGCAGAAATGGATTGCAGCCTCAGCACTACAAAAATCAAAATCCCACCCCATGTGCATACAACTGTGCAGTAAGTTGACAGGAACACTCATATTAAACAACAAATTCACAACTGAAGGTTTATTCTCTCAAAGTTAAAAACTTGCATAGCATATGAACAAAAGCCTGTTTTGAATAATTCCTTCAGGCTGTTCTATTTTGAATGCCATATATAAACTCATTTAAACACTGATCAAACATAAATAGCATAGCAACTAGCTGGTGATAAAAGTTTAGCTCCATACATTGGAAATCAAGTTGAATGATTAAGTCTTAAGTTGTCTTCTCATTAGTTATTACAGTCTATATGTGCCTGAAGTTGCAGTTTTAGAGAGCAGCACTAGCACATTGGATGTTAAATGTCACTGAGGACAGTCACATAACAATGGTTACGATAACTCATGAGTTAAAATGAAGCTGAAGTATCTAAAAAACAAATTTCCTGAACTCCAGCAGTTATACCGCATGGCAACCTTGTTAAAACTTAATTTATTGTTTACATTAGAGGATGACAATGCAAAACAAAATCTCACAGTGGCAGGTAGCTTCAATTCCATGTTTCCAAACAGAAAATAACTATCAAAAACGAAGGACAAATTTTTAGCTAGACCTTCTGTCCCATTATACACAGGGGCAGAGGCTGTGGCAGCAGGCAGGGGCTGTTAAAGAAAACATGTTTGATTAACTGAGAAGTTTTCATTGCATTACTCAACCATGGTAACACTCACTGAGGAATTCCTATACACGTATTTGATTTTTACCATCACTAGAAACAAGTAACCTTAAGGACGGTTAAAAAGGAAGATAAGACCACTACTGATGACAGTTGAAGGAGTGCTGTGCTGTAGAAATAGAGGCTTACATTTCAAAGCTTAAACCAGCAATTGCTCTGCCTTACTTCCAAGCTGTTACACAGCTCCCCATTTCAAGAAATTATCAGAAATGTATTCCAACAAAACGTGCTGAAGCCAAGCTATTCAACTTGAAGAAGCTTAATAAAGGTCATGTCATGTATACAAACAGATGGGTAGGACCTATTTAAGCCAGAGCACAACATGATTATGTTCCACATCAGTTCAGGCCACATCCTTCTCACTTTCATTTAGTCAGACTTTTTCCAGTTTAGCAAGACTATGGTTCATAGAATCATAGAATGTTTTGGGTTGGAAGGGACCCCTAGAGGTCACCCAGCCCAACCCCCCTGCAGGGAGCAGGGACACCGCTAACCACATCAGGTTGCTCACAGCCCCA